TTGAACCTTTTCCAGTTTAGTCTTATCATTGACTAGATATGGACTCCATGCTGGGGCTGCATACTCCAGGATTGGCCTGACATATGTGGTATACAAAGTTCTGAATGATTCTTTACACAAGTTTCTGAATGCCGTTCGTATGTTGGCCAGCCTGGCATATGCCGCTGATGTTATCCGCTTGATATGTGCTGCAGGAGACAGGTCTGGCGTGATATCAACCCCCAAGTCTTTTTCCTTCTCTGACTCCTGAAGAATTTCCTCTCCCAGATGATACCTTGTATCTGGCCTCCTGCTCCCTACACCTATCTTCATTACATTACATTTGGTTGGGTTAAACTCTAACAACCATTTGTTCGACCATTCCTTCAGCTTGTCTAGGTCTTCTTGAAGCCTCAAACAGTCCTCTTCTGTTTTAATCCTTCTCATAATTTTAGCATCGTCCGCAAACATTGAGAGAAATGAATCGATACCCTCCGGGAGATCATTTACATATATCAGAAACAAGATAGGACCGAGTACAGAGCCCTGTGGGACTCCACTGGTGACTTCACGCCAATCGGAGGTCTCACCCCTCACCGTAACTCTCTGCTTCCTATTGCTTAGATACTCCCTTATCCACTGGAGCACCTTACCAGCTACACCTGCCTGTCTCTCCAGCTTATGTACCAGCCTCTTATGCGGTACTGTGTCAAAGGCTTTCCGACAATCCAAGAAAATGCAGTCCGCCCAGCCCTCTCTTTCTTGCTTAATCTGTGTCACCTGATCGTAGAATTCTATCAAGCCTGTAAGGCAAGATTTACCCTCCCTGAATCCATGTTGGCCTGTGTGTGTGTGTGTGTGTGTGTGTGTGTGTGTGTGTGTGTGTGTGTGTGTGTGTGTGTGTGTGTGTGTGTGTGTGTGTGTGTGTGTGTACTCACCTAGTTGTGTCTGCAGGATCGAGCATTGACTCTTGGATCCCGCCTATCGAGCATCGGTTGTTTACAGTAATGACTCCTGTCCCATTTCCCTATCATACCTGGTTTTAAAATTATGAATAGTATTTGCTTCCACAACCTGTTCCTGAAGTGCATTCCATCTCCCCACTACTCTCACGCTAAAAGAAAACTTCCTAACATCTCTGTGACTCATCTGAGTTTCAAGCTTCCATCCATGTCCTCTCGTTCTGTTACTATTCCGTGTGAACATTTCGTCTATGTCCACTCTGTCAATCCCTCTGAGTATCTTATACGTTCCTATCATGTCCCCCCTCTCCCTTCTTCTTTCTAGTGTCGTAAGGCACAGTTCCCTCAGGCGCTCCTCATACCCCATCCCTCGTAGCTCTGGGACGAGTCTCGTTGCAAACCTCTGAACCTTTTCCAGTTTCATTATATGCTTCTTCAGATGGGGACTCCATGATGAGGCGGCATACTCAAAGACTGGCCTTACGTAGGCAGTGTAAAGCACCCTAAATGCCTCCTTACTTAGGTTTCTGAATGATGTTCTAACTTTTGCCAGTGTAGAGTACGCTGCTGTCGTTATCCTATTAATATGTGCCTCAGGAGATAGATTAGGTGTTACGTCCACCCCCAGGTCTCTTTCACGCGTCATTACAGGTAGGCTGTTCCCCTTCATTGTGTACTGTCCCTTTGGTCTCCTATCTCCTAGTCCCATTTCCATAACTTTACATTTGCTCATGTTGAATTCTAGTAGCCATTTCTCTGACCATCTCTGCAATCTGTTCAGGTCCTCTTGGAGGATCCTGCAATCCTCATCTGTCACAACTCTTCTCATCAACTTTGCATCATCCGCAAACATCGACATGTAGGACTCTACGCCTGTAAACATGTCGTTAACATATACAAGAAATAGAATTGGTCCCAGCACCGATCCTTGTGGTACTCCACTTGTTACTGTTCGCCAGTCTGACTTCTCGCCCCTTACCGTAACTCTTTGGCTCCTTCCTGTTAGGTAGTTCCTTATCCATGCTAGGACCTTTCCCCCCACCCCCGCCTGCCTCTCGAGCTTGAACAGCAGTCTCATGTGCGGTACTGTATCAAAGGCTTTTTGGCAGTCCAGAAATATGCAGTCTGCCCAACCGTCTCTGTCCTGTCTTATCCTCGTTATTTTATCATAGAATTCCAGAAGGTTTGTTAGGCACGATTTCCCTGTCCAGAACCCATGTTGATGTTTGTTCACAAACCTAATGTTCTCCAGGTGTGCAACCAGTCGTAGCCTAATTATTCTTTCCAGTATTTTACAGGGGATGCTTGTCAGTGATACAGGTCTATAGTTAAGTGCCTCCTCCCTATCACCTTTCTTGAAGATCGGCACGACATTTGCCTTCTTCCAGCAACTGGGCAATTCTCCTGACATAAGTGACTCATTAATGATCATTGCCAGAGGCACGCTGAGGGCCTGTGCTGCTTCTTTTAGTATCCACGGTGATACTTTGTCTGGTCCAACTGCTTTAGTTGCATCTAGAGTTGTCAACTGTTTCATTACCTCCTCTGCTGTCACCTCTATATCTGATAGTCTTTCACCTAGGGTAACCCCTTCCAACAATGGGAGCTGCTCAGGCTCGGTAGTGAACACTCCATGGAAACTGGCATTCAGTGCCTCGCATATTTCCTTGTCACTTTCAGTATATGCCCCCTCTGTCTTCCTTAGTCTTGTCACTTGGTCGTTCACCGACATTTTTCTTCTTATATGACTATGTAGTAACTTAGGTTGTTTTTTCGCTTCGATTGCAATATCGTTCTCATAGTCCCTTTCCGATGTTCGTCTTATGTTAATGTAATCGTTCCTAGCTCTGTTGTATCTGCTTCTGTTGTCCTCTGTTCTTTGTCTTCTGTACTTCCTCCACTCCCGCCTGCTGGCCATTTTTGCTTCCTGACACTGTCTATTAAACCATGGGTTATTATATTCCTACTTATTTTTTCCCTTTACCGTTGGTATAAATCTCTCTTCGGCCTCCTGGCATTTCTGTATGACTAGGTCCATCATATCTTGGACTGTTTTTCCTCTAATTTCTTCCGTGTGTGTGTCTTCCTTTCTGTGTGTGTGTGTGTGTGTGTGTGTGTGTAAATTGCTGGGCTCAGCAGCACATTCCCTTAAAACCTAGGAAGATACCTCACCTGGTGTCACTGCTTTCTTTCTGTTTAGACCCCCTTGATGAGGGTGTGGATAAAAAAAATATATTCTCACGTCTGCTGTGTCTTGAAGTATGCTGTGTCCTATGTGTTCGTCTTGATAAGATCAAAGTCTTCACCTTTACAAACACCACGAATGCCATTACCGCTTGATACTGAGAGCTTAAGACAGATCATTCTCCCATTCCCAAAGTTTTATTCATCTGTCCGTTTCGTTCTGGTATACTTACTTCAAACTTGTTTGAATCGCTGCCACAATTCGAGTGTTTGTCATTTCCTGTTACAATTTCTAGGTAGTAATTTTCTTAGTAGTTTTGCAGGATGCCATGTTAAATCCACATTTCATATCTTGTCTCTCTCGTTTCTTTAGTACATACAACTGATTTATCTCTGCCACATTTACCACTGCCACACTCTCTACCCTTCAGTCATCCACTGTTACTCTCTCCCCTCGTGTCATCTACTGTCACTCTCTCCCTTCGTGTCATCCATTGTCACACTCTACCTTCCTCTGCCACAGTGTCAGACACTACCTTCCTCTGCCACAGTGTCACACTCTACCTTCCTCTGCCACAGTGTCACACTCTACCTTCCTCTGCCACAGTGTCACACTCTACCTTCTTCTGCCACAGTGTCAGACACTACCTTCCTCTGCCACAGTGTCACACTCTACCTTCCTCTGCCACAGTGTCAGACACTACCTTCCTCTGTCACAGTGTCACACTTTATCTTCCTCTGCCACAGTGTCACACTTTACCTTCCTCTGCCACAGTGTCACACACTACCTTCCTCTGCCACAGTGTCACACACTACCTTCCTCTGCCACAGTGTCACACACTACCTTCCTCTGTCACAGTGTCACACACTACCTTCCTCTACCACAGTGTCACACTCTACCTTCCTCTGCCACAGTGTCACACTCTACCTTCCTCTGTCACAGTGTCACACTCTACCTTCCTCTGCCACAGTGTCACACTCTACCTTCTTCTGTCACAGTGTCACACTCTACCTTCCTCTGCCACAGTGACACACTCTACCTTCCTCTGTCAGAGTGTCACACTCTACCTTCCTCTGCCACAGTGTCACACTCTACCTTCCTCTGCCACAGTGTCACACTCTACCTTCCTCTGCCACAGTGTCACACTCTACCTTCCTCTGCCACAGTGTCACACTCTACCTTCCTCTGTCACAGTGTCACACTCTACCTTCCTCTGCCACAGTGTCACACTCTACCTTCCTCTGTGTTAGTGTCACACTTAACAACGCATGGTATTATCACAGTAAATATGATCTCTCTTCCAAAAAACAGTTTAATAATCAGAAATATTTCTTTTTTTATCCATGTGGAGGCGAGGTTTAGTTCTTATGGGTTATCGTCAACTCTCACTCTCGTCGCCTGGCTAAGAAGCTCATGTAAAAAGGTTTCATCGGTCGAATTTTGGAATTGAACGGTACATCTGTCCTCTATATTTGCTTCCTATATATATCCAGGTTGATTATGTAATTCAAGTCACATATGATAAGTGATTTAGTTGTGTCCTTATTTGACTTTTTGACTGTAAACAAAATGTGGTAGTCAACAAGGAAGGGATTAGACAATGTCAATTGTCTTGCCTTTTTTCAAATTCCGTCTGTTTTTACCAATTTTTCTTAATAAATGAGCAACCAGCTAAATGGGCGCCCCAAACATACGCCAATATACATGCTTTACATCATTAGGTAAGACTTTTGGGCTTAGGTAAGAGCTCCGGAGATCGAGGCTTCCATCATTGTGGTGTAAGGAAGCCTCCGTGCGTTTTTATTTTGTTTTTTTATGACTTAGAATTAAAATGATTTAGTAATACCGATTTTCTCTCCTAAACTCCGGCGAAGAAACACAGCGGCCAAGGCATGAGTAAGATCCACATCCACCTGTATGCGTGTTTGTGCGCCGCGGAGCTGGTGTTGCTGTGTGGGCTGGACGCCACTCACAGCCCCGTCCTCTGCACAGTGGTGGCCGCCCTTCTTCACTACTTGTTCCTCGCCACCTTCACCTGGTGCGCCATCGAGGGCTTCAACCTATACCTTATGTTGGGGAAGGTGGGTACTGTCCAGTCATCTTAGTGCCACCTTCACCTGGTGCGCCATCGAGGGCTTCAACCTATACCTTATGTTGGGGAAGGTGGGTATTGTCCAGTTATCCTAGTGTCACCTTCACCTGGTGTGCCATCGAGGGCTTCAACCTATACCTTATGTTGGGGAAGGTGGGTATTGTCCAGTTATCCTAGTGTCACCTTCACCTGGTGCGCCATCGAGGGCTTCAACCTATACCTTATGTTGGGGAAGGTGGGTACTGTCCAGTCATCTTAGTGTCACCTTCACCTGGTGCGCCATCGAGGGCTTCAACCTATACCTTATGTTGGGGAAGGTGGGTACTGTCCAGTAATCTAACTGTCACCTTCACCTGGTGCGCCATCGAGGGTTTATTTGAATTATTATTATTATTTTATATTAGGAACATAAATTATTAACTTAGTTGTGTTAGTTTAGGTTAGGTTTAGATCGGTTAGGTTAGGTTAGGTAAGGTTAGTTAGGTTCGGTCCTATATCTAATTTTGTTTTAACTCAAATTTCAACAAATTAACTAATAAATAATGAAATGGACAGATTTATCATTTCATAAGAAAAAAATTTGAAAAATATATAGATTCCAGAAAACTTGGCTTATTAGACAAATCGGGCCTTACATAGTAGGCCGAGTACGATATTCTGGCTACTAGGTACAACATATATATATATATATATATATATATATATATATATATATATATATATATATATATATGTCGTACCTAGTAGCCAGAACTCACTTCTCAGCCTACTATTCAAGGCCCGATTTGCCTAATAAGCCAAGTTTTCCTGAATTAATATATTTACTATATTTTTTTTCTTATGAAATGATAAAGCAACCCTTTTCTCTATGTATGAGGTCAATTTTTTTTATTGGAGTTAAAATTAACGTAGATATATGACCGAACCTAACCAACCCTACCTAACCTAACCTATATTTATCGGTAAGGTTAGGTTAGGTAGCCAAAAAAAGCTACGTTAGGTTAGGTTAGGTAGGTTAGGTAGACGAAAAAACATTAATTCATGAAAACTTGGCTTATTAGGCAAATCAGGCCTTGAATAGTAGGCTGAGAAGTGCGTTCTGGCTATTAGGTACGACATATATATATATATATATATATATATATATATATATATATATATATATATATATATATATATGTCGTACCTAGTAGCCAGAACTCACTTCTGAGCCTACTATTCAAGGCCCGATTTGCCTAATAAGCCAAGTTTTCCTGAATTAATATATTTACTATAATTTTTTTCTTATGAAATGATAAAGCAACCCTTTTCTCTATGTATGAGGTCAATTTTTTTTTATTGGAGTTAAAATTAACGTAGATATATGACCGAACCTAACCAACCCTACCTAACCTAACCTAACCTATATTTATAGGTAAGGTTAGGTTAGGTAGCCAAAAAAAGCTAGGTTAGGTTAGGTTAGGTAGGTTAGGTAGACGAAAAAACATTAATTCATGAAAACTTGGCTTATTAGGCAAATCGGACCTTGAATAGTAGGCTGAGAAGTGCATTCTGGCTATTAGGTACGACATATATATATATATATATATATATATATATATATATATGTCGTACCTAGTAGCCAGAACGCACTTCTCAGCCTACTATGCAAGGCCTGATTTGCCTAATAAGCCAAGTTTTCATGAATTAATTGTTTTTCGACTACCTAACCTACCTAACCTAACCTAACCTTACTTTTTCGGCTACCTAACCTAACCTAACCTATAAAGATAGGTTAGGTTAGGTTAGGTAGGGTTGGTTAGGTTCGGTCATATATCTACGTTAATTTTAACTCCAATAAAAAAAATTGACCTCATACATAATGAAATGGGTAGCTTTATCATTTCAACAGAAAAAAAATTGAGAAAATATATTAATTCTGGAAAACTTGGCTTATTAGGCAAATCGGGCCTTGCATAGTAGGCCGAGAAGTGCGTTCTGGCTACTAGGTACGACATATATATATATATATATATATATATATATATATATATATATATATATATATATGTGTGTGTGTGTGTGTTTCGTACCTAGTAGCCAGAACGCATTTCTCAGCCTACTATGCAAGGCCCGATTTGCCTAATAAGCCAAGTTTTCATGAATTAATTGTATTTCGACTACCTAACCTACCTAAGCTAACCTAACCTAACTTTTTCGGCCACCTAACCTAACCTAACCTATTAAGATAGGTTAGGTTGGTTAGGTAGGGTTGGGTAGGTTTGGTCATATATCTACGTTAATTTTAACTCCAATAAAAAAAAATTGACCTCATACAAAATGAAGTGGGTAGCTTTATCATTTTATAAGAAAAAAGTTAGAGAAAATATATTAATTCAGGAAAACTTGGCTTATTAGGCAAATTGGGCCTTGCATAGTAGGCTGAGAAGTGGGCCTGTTGTCTGTGGTAAGTTAGAGGGAGGAACACGTAAAACACAAAATATGAACAATGAAACTTCAATATATTTACTTTAAACATAAATGAAAATAAAGACAAATCTCGGGAAGTTAAATTACAGTTAAATAATAAAGAAAATGTTAAGACAATGTGAAATACAAAATTACAATGTTAAAATGGTGCTGAGAATATCGGCTATGGCTGAAACCTCCCTTCGTATACGAGCTAATGAGCGAGTATGCCAGAGAGAGATGTCAACCGTAAGAGCACAAGGAATATTCTGAAGTCGATTGCTGGTCAGGCTCAGACGTCGATTCGTGTTGAGGGCGCTGAGGTGCTGTGTGCAGGTGCACGGCTGGCGAGTCACCAATCAGAGGCAGGCAAGCTGGTGAAGGGTAGTTAGCTGGTTTGATGACGAGCCGGCGCGTGGAGGGTGTGTGGAGTGGGGGGATCTTGGATACGTTTTGCCTCCTGGTCAAAACGTTTTGTGCTACTGGTGACGTATCTTGAATGTAGCATCTTATACTTGTGTATTTGGCGTAACTTGAAGTAGGGAAGAGCAGACTCAATCTCTCTTGAAAGAGATTATCGTCACAACTCTCCCCCGAAGCCTGCGGTTCCGGTGAAGTTACGTCTTTAGGAGGTAGAATGGTAGGTGGAGCAGCCTTTATCTCATAGACTCTGGAGAGGGCGTCTGCTATGATGTGGTCTGACCCCTTGATGTAGATGTCTCCAGATGGAAAGTCTGCAGATATCAAGCCCATTGTAGAAGCCGTCGATTGTTGAATTGGGCTTGCTGCAGGAAGTGTAGGGTGTTGTGGTCCGCGTAGATGGTGGTAGACCGAGCACTTTTCATGTATGGTTCGAAGTGCTGAAAGTTCAGGACGATGAGTAGCTCCCTGTCGATTGTGCGGTTTTTCCTTGTAGCTGTAGTCGCTAACAGGTAGATTCTCCTCGCCTCGTTGTTGCAATAGGTCACCCCCGATGCCGATATCACTGGCGTCGACATGGAAGATGAAAGGCTTCGTGATATCTGGCGAGGTGAGAATAGGATTAGAACATGGCAAAGGAGCACTATTATAGTCCTGTAAATTGGAATGAAGATCAGGTAGGATTTCCGATTTGGAAAGCACCAATTCAGTGTTAATGCTTTCGGGAGAAGCAGGGAAGGTTTCACTGTGGAGGTATGGACCTTTAGAGGTAGAGACAGATATCAGAACAGTAGGGGGAATACCTTGATACTGCTTCAGGAGGTTGACGTGGCACAACTGGGTCCTCCGCCGCCTATCTGGAGTCTCAAGAACGTAGTTGTTGTTGTTCCTGCACTCCTTGATATGGTAGGGTCCTGAAAACTGGTTTTTCAATGGAGAACCTGGGATAGGAAGGTATGCCAATACGAAGTCTCCTGGTTTAAATTTCCTTAATTTGCTACTCTGGTCAAAATGAGTCTTCATCCTCTCCTGTGCTTTCGATAGGTTGTCATTAGCAAATTTACGTACTCTCTCTAGAATGTGTTTTAGGTTTTGAAGAAACCGAGGCACATTCTGATGGTCACTGAAGGTGGCATTACGTAGAGAGTCCATGAAAGCTTTGAGAGGAGTACGGCACTTACGTCCGTAGAGCATCTCATAAGGAGATACTCCTAGAGACTCATTGGGGAGACTTCGAAAAATGCACATTATGAGATCAAGTTGTCTATCTCAGTCCTTCAATGTCTCATTGCAGAATTTCTTTAGGAGTGCTTTAATAGTCTGATGACTACGTTCAAGAGAACCCTGTGAAGCAGGATGATAGGGGCTGGACAGTACCTGTGTGATGTTGAACTCCTCCAGAGTCTTCTTGAAGAGATCACTGGTGAAGTTGGTGTCACAGTCACTTTGAACCTCTCTTGGAAATCCATACTGGGTGAAGATCTTCAATAGGTGTTTCACCACTGTAGCAGCCGTAATGTTCTTTACTGGAACTGATATGGGAAACCTGGTGGTAGGACACATGATAGTTATTATATATGCGTTGACAGAACTGGTCCGGGGTAAAGGACCAACACAGTCTATGATGAGTCTGTGGAAAGGTTCCGCAGACACCTGGATGGGTTTCAGAGGAGCCTGGGGAATAGAGCTGTTAGGTTTATCTGCCATCTGACATATATGACACTCTTTTACGTATTTCTTTACGTCTTTTACCATACCGGGCCAGTAGTAGTCTTGTCTGATTCCGTGGTAGGTTTTTTTGAAGCCATAGTGAGAAAGAGCTCCGTGGGCCAGGTGTAGAATATCGGGCCGTATGCTGGTGGGAATCACTAGTTGTTCGACATTGGCCCAATCATCATCCTCCTTCAGCTTGCTGGGTCTGTATCTGCGGTAGAGCAACTCATTCTCTAGGAAGAACCCAGGGATACTGTCAGGTTGAGTCTCAGCCAGAAAGAATAATGGTGTTAATGATTGATCTTCCCTCTGTAACTTACGGAACTCCAACTTGGTAAGATTGGGAGGTAGATTCTGAGGATCTTGAGGGACAGCGGTAGCAGTAGAGTCAGCTGGTTGCGGTCGTGCAGCTTGTGCACGCGTGGTCACCAAAACCGGAGGAGAAACTTTATCACTCTCTTGAACCTCTGCTGGAACATATTCAAAGATGGGATTATCCATTACAGAAGTACACACCTGAGGTTTGTCCGTGATGATCAGGTTGGGCGGTTGCAGATCTTCTGCCAAGTCGTTGCCAAGGAGAAGTTGCACACCAGGCATGGGAAAAGGCTTTTCCCTGATGGCGACTTGGACTTCACCGGTCATGAAGGGACAATCCAGGTGGACTCTGGCGAGTGGATATGGAGTGGTAGCAGTGAGGTCAGTGATAAGGACGGTTTTCCCGGTGTAGGTGACG